AGAATAGGTTATGCGATTAAAATACGTAATGATGTATTAAAACAAACAAAAATAGATAACTTGTTGAAATATCTAGATAGCAGGAACAGGTAGTCCAGACGCTCAAGCAGGCCGCCCTTCCAGGTTTTCAATGGTGGTCTAACATCAATCGACTCATGATCTCAATTCAATATTTATTATCCTATAGAACTAAAGTAAAGGTAATTGGTCGAATCCTGGTACACCATGAAAGTATAATTCTTTAATAGCCGATAATGATTAGAATAGCTTGATAATCATAATAATCTTTTTAATTCCATAACTATATGATACAGATATAATCCATTGAAGAATTATGAATTGTATATACTACTTATACAGATTATCATCATATTAGTTCAATATCAGGTCATTGTTATTATTAATCTAAGAAGTATTTGTATACAAAGCATTAAAACAATAAACTAGGCTATCTAAAACATATTGAGTTAGTTATAACAGTTTAAATCACTTAATGATACAATAATACAAGTATGGATTTCTTTCTATGAATGAATTCAACTAAGCGTTTGGTTTAAGACTAAAGAAAACAAACAAACAAAAGATACCACCATTTATGGATTCAAATATTTTGGTGAACTCATTGTCTTTTTGAAGTTATTCCATGTTTATATAAGAACCGCCTACATTTAGCTGTTATAGATCATATGAAGATATGTACATCTCAATGGCTTCCTTAATATGAACTTGGTGATACTGTCTTTCATTTCGAATAGTTAGCAAGTTCAATTATAAAGTTCGATCATAACCGTTTAGAAATTCTTGTGAGACGATTAAAAGTGTCAATGGTCATTATGTTCATAGTACTTCTAAAGTATGCAGATGTCAAGGATTCTGTAATCGAATGGGATAATATCCATATATGTATAAGATCTTTTTCTGTATCATACATACATACATTATAGAATGTAATGTAAAATTCCATAATTATTTTGTAGTGAACGAGAACAAAGGCGGGGATAAGCAAATGTATTTTAATACAACGTTACAGAATATCTTAGTAAAATATGAGAACCATACAGTAAACACTTCATTTGAAATATATCCATCAACTGTCAAAAACCATGTTGTTCCTTCGTATTCATACCAATCACTTACTGTTTTCCTTCTCTTCACTTCTCTTCGATTTTCTTAACTTTCTGCCATTAGGCATTTCACTTTCAATTGATTATATATACTACTTATCTCTGTCAATATCAGTAGCACACACCACAACGATTCATCTTTTTGTATCTAAGCTCATCTCAATGACGTATTCTACCAATAATAGGTGATAATATCAGTGAACTTTGAATTTTTATACCTATTTGATGATATACTCTAATCTTTGCTTTCTTTTTGTTTATATTAAAATGACTTATTAACTAAGAACTAGAGACTGGTTATAGATATAACTAACTTATCCTATAAAGACATATATCCCAGAGATAAAACGTTAATTTCAATGTTTCAATATTTGTTTGTTTGTTTTTATGTTAGACAAACATTTTCTGCGAAAAATCGATATATTACTGACAATGATGTTTCATTCATTACAGTCTGACATTCCCATATTGTAAATTTAGAACAACAGAGATATAAGCGAACAATATTGTCTTTGATTTGATACTCATTAGGCTTTACTCTAATATACAGTAATATTTATATGCATACATGAAAGTAATTAAACCAATCAAGGTAGTTTATGAGTTACTGTTAACAGTAGAATAGATTACATAACTAAAGATAATAAGTGGAAAGTACAAACTGATAGTGTGATGACAGGTGTTGAGAAGGTGGAGAAGATTTATACCTTAGGTGGATGATTTGGATGGAGTTCTGCTATCTGAGCTGGATGTTTTGGTCGTGGAGATTTCATCGTTCTTCTGAACGACATCATCAGCATAAACTTCACGACCAAACCATCCAGCTCAGAGAACAGAACTCCATCCAAATGACTAGTGTACTACATGTTTTCGATTTAGTATCTTACACATAGCAGAAGCTATAGGAATTCGAGTCAACACCCCAAGTCTTTGTGTTCATAAGAAATTTGTAACACCTTTATTTCTCCAATGGCCTTAATTAATAACCTTAGTTACTATTATTTTTCATTATACTCTTTCTTCGTCTTGTTTTTCTTCACCCCTTCCCACCTTTTACTTTCCTCAAATATACACCTCATGGTTCAATTATCTGAACACCACTTATTACGTAATCTTATAATAATTTTGATGAATGCTATTTCAGTGTCTGTATTTTTCTAATCATTGACCTATTTCCCATTATGTAAGATTGATTCATTCCTTTATTATTCTTATCATATCTTGTACACCTATGATTGCACTACCAACTTTTACTTTTCACTTCTTTAGTTATGTAATTTATTCCATTGTTTTCATTGACTCATAAACTACCTTGATTAGTTTAATTAATTTCATATATGCATATAAATATTACTGTATATTAAAGTAAAGCCTGATGAGGATCTAATCGAAACAAGTAAACATAAATCAATAGTTGAGATCACAAGTCAGTAGAAGCTAGACCACTATGGAAAACTTGGAAGCACTGAACGGCTGTTTTGTCCTATTATGAGATGCTTCAATAAACATATAGTCTATACTTCTGGTTAAAATCTTGAATTCATTTTCATTCTCATTATAATAATGAATTGATAAGTTTGAACCATGTAAACTAGTTGACGTACAAAGAAACGTATATCCAGAACGTCACTTGGTATTATTTATTTAAATCTTCCTATTGTTATTTAGGACTGCAATGGATCAGTCACCTGTTGACATATATGTATCCTGCGTGGATATTGAATATTCTCTCTGAACTATCCAGTACCGTGTTAGTATATGTCAGATTTATTTGGAAACACATTTTATCAAATTTTAGTAAATAATTATTTTTTTAAACTGTAGTTTATATTCATTTCATTAGAACTACAAGCAACCAGTATATTCTGTGCAGATTATCTCAGTATTACTTTCAAGTCACAAGTAGGTACATTTGGCTGACGAGTCTCTTAAATAGAACGAAACACGCGTCTTAGATTCCATTGTTAGCCATCATCCATCCAAACCTGTATATGTTCATAAGGTTGATAGATAATGTGACCACTTTAGAAATGTAATGAATGAATAGATTTTAAATTTATCAAGAAATATCTATTCAGTAAAACATTTTAATGATTTAAACAGTGTTTAGTCGATGTTCACAGAATTTCCTTCAAAGATTCAAAAAAGAACAACCTATTGTTTGATTATGATAAGATTTATTTGAAGGTGGGACTATCATTTATGGATGACATTTGAACGACGCCAGACTCAGCTTGACAGTGTTCACCTAATATCTAGGACTAAATAAGCGTTATACTTGATGGTTAAGGTTAAGAATTAGATTTAGGATTTTTCATCACGAACTAACATCAGCTATAATGACAAGACTCTATTTAGCCAAATGGATGAGTGGATTTCACAATAAAATCCGTGACCTGTTATGATAAGCCTGATTGGTTCGTCCATAAATTATAGTCTCGCCGATTTCAAATAAAACTTGAATAGATTTACTCATTACACGAAAAAAGCCGATGGAGTAATGAATTTATGGTGATGGTACCTAATCTTATATGAAACAATATTTGGTATAAGGGACTTATAAATAATGACTTAAAATATTTTTCTAAATGAATTATTCTAGTAACTAGTTATACTATGGTAATGTATTGTGTACTACTGATGTCGACAGTTATAAGTAGTATTTATCATCAATCGAAAGTGAAATGCCTAATAGTAGAAGGTTAAGAAGATCGAATAGAAGAGAAGAGAACGAAAACAATGAGTGATTGGTATAGAGATGAAGAAATAACATGTTCTGTGACAATTGATAGATGTTTTGAAAATGGTTCTGTAATGTTATGGTTTTCCTATTCCTGTTCTTGTTCACAATAGTATTTTTACCTTTCAAATATGAAAATATCATTTAGATGATAGTTTGAAATGACCAAATAAATGATCATTGTTTTTTTAACGTTAGTTATAAGTGTTGATTGCCAATTATGAACAGAATATGATGTCATGGTTAATAATGTGAAGACCATAATCTAACTTGTAATTTGATTTATTGAAGCTTCAGTTAAAACAACTGATCATATTCTACAGTTTCATTAATGAACAAAACCGAAAAAACACTGAAATATGTTGATATTAAGTCTATGACTATTATATAAATTAATGTCAACCATTGAATCCTTTGGCCAGACACTATCAGCAACAATCGACTATAAGAATGAACAAACCAAATTCTAGAGGAGGAAGAAATCAGGAAAAAGTGCTGGAAGTGAATAAGGCACACATTGAGGAAAGCATCCAACTGTGTCACAAGTCAAGTCTTCACTTAGAATCCTCAAAGCAAAAGGAGAAGAAGAAAATCAAAGAGCAAGTTACGCCTAGAATCGGAGACAGACATAAGAAGAATTAACTAGAAAGAAAGGTTCAGGATAGAGTGTGTTGTAGAATGTTGGTCCAGCGGTCTGTGCTCCATTGGAAATAACAGGTGTAAATAAGTAAGTAATCGGATGTTTGAAAAGAAAAGTGTAGATGAATTGGAATTCAAATATGACATGATATATATATATATATATATATATATATATATATATATATATATATATATATATATATATATATATATATATATATATATATATAGTAGAATTGGAGTCAAACAATGCTACCTATTCTCTCTCCCCCTACTTTCTCTTTCTTCTACTTACTGGTTAATTGAATCATGGAACCTTTCACAATTAAAAAGGAAACATACTATACAATTATATGGTAACAACTACATAATGAATTCAATTCTATTCATAATTTATATTACATTTTATAAAGAATAATACATGAATCATATATTACTATAATAATAATAATAATAATAGTAGTAATGTATATTATTAATAATTAATAACTTACAATTTATATTAGTTGATTAGTTGAATACACAATTAGTATACTGAATAGTGATTTATATTTCTATTACTAATGTAACGGTTATAAGTAGCTAATTAAATATTCTTTTAATAAAATATAATTTTCATAGGAGAATAATTCAAATTATTATTTATATAGATTTATGATTATTTTTTTCCCCAAAATTTGATTGGTCAATTTTAACAAACCATTATAAAGGAATGAAGGAATGAATGAAGAAATGAATGAAGGTATGAAGGAATGAAGCAATGAATGAAAAGCAACCGAATACAGTCGGACATATATATATCTATCAGTATAGGGGTTGTGGAGATTGTTAAGTTTTTTTTGATTGAGATCATGAATCAATTGATGTTAGACCACCTTTGAAAACCTAGAAGCTTTGGAGCTAATCCGTGTCGGGTAGAAACAGGTATCTACCTCAGTACAATGGAAGTTGGTCGCTCAATTTCGTGGATTGGTTGATGTTAGACACTAACACCATTGGATGCCAGCTCAGTGCTTTAGTTGATTAAGCTCTTGGCGCGAGATCGATAGGTCCTGGGTTCGAACCTCGCGGGGAGCGGGATCGTGGGCGCACACTGCTGAGGAGTTCCATACTAGGACGAAACGGCCGTTCAGTGCTTCCAGGTTTTCCATGTTGGTCTAACATCAATTGATTCATGATCTCAATCAAAAAGATATATATATATATATATATATATATATATATATATATATATATATATAGTTGTAAATTATATAAAGTAATGATATTATCCACTGAGACTTACTGAATAAATAATGTAATATTAAATACCATGTATTGTATTCATTATCTTGGTCTATCAAGGTCATTTAACGGTATAGTTTTTTAAAAAAAATAATAATTATTTTTATATTAACTGTTCAGTGTATGGTGATTATTGTCATGTTTATTTAATCATTGTAGAGTAAATCGTTGAAGACACTGTAGCGGTAAATAAATCCCCAAAATAAATAGCTCTGTAAGTTTACGACATTGGATACTGACCAGATTAGATCAGATAATTCCGATATATTGGCAATCGTCAAATACAACTTCTTATCTCCTCGATTCTGTCTTTTGATTTCTCTTGGTGGGTACGAGTTATATTAGAACGTGTTACTGGTAAAAGCGTTGTCAAACACTGAATACCTGTGCCATATTCATCATTATCTTCTTAACTATTAAAATCCTGTAGGTATTTCAATGCACCAGTTCACTGAATATTTTGTACTTTATTGGTGTTACAAGATCATGAATCATAAATATATAGTTGGCTTTTGCCAACTTACGTCACTAATGGCGAAGATGAGATATCCGTTTATCAATTAAAGGACGAGTATACTACACGGTAGTTTGTTCTATTCTACTTTACAGCTTCGAAACGTGGCCATTAAGAGTAGAAGATACTCGTAAGTTACTAATATTTGATCACAGATGTGTTGGAAATATTATTCGCGTCGTTTGAGATCACCACCCAATCTCGCTACTTGAGGAAGCTGTTCTAGAAACGTTTGCAGAAATGGCACAAAAACCTCAAAATAGGGAGATTGGGCAGGTAAGTAATAGTGAGTTTAGACGCATGGTATTAGGGAATGATGGTAAATCAGATGATGAGGTTGTGAATCTTCATCCACTGAGATGGCTGGGTTACGAGTTACGTATGCCTGAACATCGATTACCACGATAAGCAATGCTGACTGGTGTTGGGAATGATTTGAATAAAGTTAAAAGTGGCCAAACCAAAACGTGGTTTAGTGCTTAAAGTCACTAGTTTCAGGTCAGAGCCTTATTGTTAGATGCAGACTACTTGGTTGTGGTCCGCGTGACTAACGTAACCACTGGTTGGAGACTGTGTGTGACGTTAGTCAGAATCGATCACAGTGGTGTAGGTGTATACACTTTTTGTCTTCCCTTAAACCATGGAATTACAATTACTTTGTACATTTCTTTCTACCAACTGATTCTTTCTTCCTGTATTATATCCTTGTACACAATCTTTCTTTTATATATTACTACCACTGAAGTGACTAGTTGTATGAATTTAGTGTTGATCTTGTTGTGTTAATGAGGTGTGGCAAGTCGAACCGATGCATATATGTGCCTGATCCTACATTGCAGTTGACTGACTGAGATCTGCTAATGAAGTCGTATTTTGGTCTGTAGTTCAAATGGTTCCAGATCCCATCCAGTATGCTTTAATGTTTAATAGTTGAAGGCAGTTGAAAGCAAATCACGAGCCTAAATTTCGTAATGATTGAAATTCATTATTACTAAGGCGTAACTGTAATAAAAAAGCAAATGACACTTAAAGTAGAATTGGATTTAGCATGACACTGCTTTATAGACTAAACAACTATTCAGCAAACCATTTCGGTAAATATTTTTGTTTAAGAAGAAGATCAATCAAGGCCTGACTAGCTCACTAGTAGTATCTCAAACTATAAACCAACATGACTCAAATGTGAACCTGCATAAATCCCTTCAGGAATACAGATGTAACTTACTGACGAATGTCAATAAGCACAAAAATTTAGGTCAAAATCCTCCTGTTGATTTCCTTTAATCCTCAAATACTTTAATTACTAATGAACAGTTAATGAATTTCATGCTCTATTCCCCCCCCCCCACCAAAAAATTAAGAGAATAGTCAATATGTTAGTGATTCAAAGGAAATGAAGAAGGTCAAAGTTAATAAGTTTTATCTGTATATTATTCATTACGTGATTAAATATACAAAAAATTTTTTAATGTTTTCAAAACTGAATCTTTTTTCGCTTAGTGATTCATTTTTGTTACTGTGTTTAAAATCTATTTCAATAGTTGAGATCATAAGTCAATTAAGGCTAGACAACCATGAAAAACCTGGAAGCACTGAACGACTGTTTCGTTCTATTGTGGGACTCTGCAGCAATGCACATCTACGATCTAGCCTCACGAGATTCGTGAGATAGTAACTCACTGAAGACAATCGTGGATGTGTCACTCAATTGCGTGGATTAGTTGAAGTTAGACATTCACAACCTTGAATGCCGGTAGGCTCTGTTAATACATACTTGCTACCTTAGCCGGCACTAATCACCTTGTTTGTAATTAACTATGTTGAAGTGATTTGTTCATTGAATGTGCGTGCATCTTTATTTCTCCTGATTGTTGTAATTAGTTGACTTATGATAATGACAATTTATCGAACATCAGGAGATATTTATTGCCTCTTGGAATATACAAAGCATTATTAGCCTTAATTGATAGATTCAATAAGTTATGTTAAGCAACAAATACAAATTTAAACTCTTTATTTGGTGTTAAGTGCTTAGATTCGTTGATATTGTGTCCTCTCAGGTGAATGGTTCATTCGTAAAGCTTTCATTGTTCTTCTGGACAGCATTATTAGTAGGTATTTCAAAAACTCAGTAATACTAAATTACTACATAAGTCCATGATTTTCCACTTGGTATTTTTTTGATTGTCTGATGAATAGAAAGTCTTCTATGTACGTACCTGGGAACCATCATCGATAAACAAAGAGGATCAGATGCAAATGTAAAGGTGAGAATTAAAAAAGCAAGAACAGCATTCCTAGAGATGAAGAATATATGTAACTCAAAACAACTGTCAACCAATATCAAAGTCACAATCTTCAATACGAACGTTAAGACAATAAGTTCTACTGTAAGGAGGTGAAACTTGGGGAACTACTACAACCATCATCAAGAAGGTACAAATATTTATAAAAAGTTGTCTATGCAAAATACTCGACATCAATTGACCAGATACCATCAGCAACAGCCTTCTGTGGTAGAGAACAAACCAACTTCCAGCTGAAGAGTTAGTTAGGAAAAGACGGTTGAGGTGTACAGGACACACAATGACGAAATCATCAAACTGCATCACAGAACAAACCCTATATCCGAACGGAGAACAGAAATACCTAGGAACACATTAACTTGGGAATTGGAAGCTGACACGGAAAGAATGAATAACAAGTGGGACAAACTAGAATGGATTGCTCAGAACAGAGTTGGATGGAAAGTGCTGGCAGGTGGCCTATGCTTCTCTATGAGGGGTAAAAGGCGTAAGTAAGTAATATACTCAAAACAAATCATGTTTACCTATTTGTAACTAATTGTTAATGGTTTGATTTACACGAAAAAAGGAAATATATTTTCTTAATGAAGAATTCAGAAACTTATACACCAAACACAACATGTATACATGTTTGAAACAATTAATCCCTATGATATTTTAGAACTATGTGATATATACGAATAGTCAACCGCCCCCCCTTATGTATTCAAAAACAGTTTGTTCTCACCTTAAACCTACCTTGGTGATTAGGTTTCAAATTGTTTTCACATTATCATTTTCTTTATCATCCTTGTCTCCTCTTACTCTCTATTTCTAGTCTGGTCCACCTTTCATTTTTATGTATAAATGATCTTAACAACTATTTAATGTGTGGTCAGATTGCTCAAAATATATCACATAGTTCTAATAATCTTCGTCTACTTCTTACTACACTATCGAAATATACACATGTGATATATGCTACTTATATCTGTTGACATAAGTAGTATGTAAGACCGATCGGAATTGGAAAATATGGCAGTAAGAGGCTAAAAAGATCAATTTGAAAAGGATAAAAAGAAAAATATAAACGAATTGTGAATTAGAAGAATCATACAGAATGTGAAGGAATATTTGATGGAAGATTTCCAAATAAAGTATTCGATGTATGATTCTTAGATTTCACCAAGAAATTCTATAATTTCATTTTTACATACTTCGGTTAATGTCGCCTGAGTCCTTATTCACAATTGAAATTATTAAAATCTCCACAAAACCCCTTCAGATAATAGTCATCTGCTCACTAGTAACTGACTTCAAGAGGCATTTCATGGAGTTCTAGTGAGAAGCCGTGACCAGTAGAGTTCGATAAGGTCTGTTGTGAGATATCAGCTCACTGAAGGCAATGGTGTACGGTGGCACGATTTCGTGAATTAGTTGGAGTTAAACATTAACACAGTTGAATGCCGACTGGCTCAGTGGTATAATGATTAAGCGCTCGCACGTGAGACTGATAGGTCCTGGGTTCGGATCT